GTAGTAATAGTCGTTGTTGTTGTTGTTGTCGTCGTCGTCCTCCTCGTCGTCCTCGTGGTGGTGGTAGTAGTAGTAGTAGCAGCAGCAGCAGCAGAAGTAGTGGTTGTAGTAGTTGTACTGGTAGTGGTGGTGGTAGTGGTAGTGGTAGTGGTAGTGGTAGTAGTAGTAGTAGTAGTAGTAGTAGCAGCAGTTGTAGCACAAGGAGCAGCAGCACCTTCAAAACCTCCGGACCAAGAAGGAATCGAGAACCAGGCTCGGCCTGGTTCTTCTTCAGGCATACCAGGTCGACTAAAGCGGCTTCCAGCTTCGCCTCTGCAGCCTTCAGGGATGCATCGGCAGTTTGGCGACACCAGTGGCAAGTGTGGACAGCTCCAACCTCGGCCTCTTCGATCCGCTGCTCCATCGGTAAAGCTTCCAACGGCCTTAGCACTCGGAAAGCGAAGCGAAACTTTCGACTTCAAGCAGTTTTAGCAGCTTCTGCAGCTGAGCCAATGCACCCCTTGGCAGACTGAAGACAACTAGTGCCAAGACGGAAGTGTCCCAGGCCTGGAAAACCGAATCAAGCTGTCTGTCTGCAGTCTAATAGTTGGAACGGCCGCGAGCAAGCAAGCGCCTCCTGGCAGCAAGCCATGCTGGCCCGGGGCATTCAATAGCTCGCCCCGTGTGCTTTCCTGACAGGATCGCGCTTCGGCCCGCACTAACACAGCGACGGCGGCCTGCACAGATGGGGTCAGTTCCCCGCTTCTGCTCTCGAGAGCTGAAGCTATGACTGAGGTTGCCTTGAGACTGCGGCGAATTTCTTCTGCACAGGTGCGATGCGATGTCTAAGCCGATTGCACTTGCCAACGGTGTAGTGGAGGCTGTGCTGCAGTACCCGACCTCGGGCATGAAGCTGACCAGCTTATGACACAAGCTCAAAGTGTCGCGAGTTTCCAGCAGAAGGCATCCGGGTGTTCCACACGGCGTTGCTACCCTGTCACACAAGGGTTCTGTACACTTTGAACATCAACAAGCATCTTGGGACGGCCTTTCCCCCCGTCGCGATCATTTCCTCCCCCTCATCTACCCTTCTTTCCATGGGCTGTGTGGCGGACCTTTCCCAGAAAGGGCAAAGAAGATCATGATCAGTAGTGCGCGTTCTCCCGTGGTACAAATTCGCCGAGCATAGGACGACTGAGACCCTGCGCAATCTCCCTCCTCCACGCCCTCCTGTTGCAAGACCAACAACAACTCGGTACCTTCGCAGAAGATGCAGCTGCCTCCAGACTGAGCTCGCCCTGACACACAAGGTGCCAAACATATGTGTACCGCTAGCACCGAGGATTCAAAGCGTGACTGAGGTGCCAAGGCATTCTCAAGAGCCGTCTGGAGTTTCAAGAGCGCCATGTCGCAAGCGCACCTCCCAAAACTCTGTGTTGATGGGCTTGAAGCACCGTGTGCGGGAGGCATTCCATCTTAGCCCCACCTGTTTGCACGCAGGCACGCTCAAGAAACTATCAGTTCCACTTGACCTCGGACCACCACAGACACAGGGTTTCCAAAAATCGGTATCTTGCTCTTCGGACAAGGCTCGGCTCTTAGGCTCGGCCGACTCATGCAACTTTGATATTTCAACGCGCCTGTTGCCCATGCCTGGCATCTCATCAGGAAACTGAACCTCTCCGGGCCTGTTGATTAAAGCCGCCTGGTGCTTGCTTAAAAGCCGGGCTGACGAGTTCAAATCACACTTTCAGATTATTATGAGTTGATGCCGCCGCGGCGCAATCCGGAGTGCCCAATTGGATTTGCTGATTCCAACAAAAAAGCTGCCCGGCTCACGGCCGCAGGCAGTTTGGTCAGCACCCAGAGCTTCAAGCACAAAAAATGTTTCCACACGAGGAACGAAGGGGTGGTCGGACCAAGCCGGAGCATGAACAAGGTTTTGGACCCCATTGGGAAGGAGAGTGCGTTTCCGTGCCGTCGCCGAAGATGGCTCTAGCTTGTTGAGCTCCCCACCCACATGCGCGACCTCGGCGAGACAGGAAAGGCTCCGACTGCGGTGCAATCCCTGCCGCACTGAGAGGGAAATCGAGACACATCCAAATCTGACCCATCAACGACCAGTCCTGCAAATGGCTAGCTTCAGCCCCAAATCTTCGTCATTCATTCAGGAAAGCTGCATGCATCGCCGAAGCCACGCGCAGGCTATGCCAGCTAATTGAACCCAGCTTGAGCTACGTGGCCCCAGTCCAGGAGGAGAGACTTTTCAAAAGGGGTGCATTATGAAGCCTACCCAAAAACTCGCGACAGCAGCGAGAGTTACCTTTTTTACAACTCGGTCGCATTGTCTGAGGCACTCCCTTCCTGCGTGCCTTCTTTGATGTGGGCGGTGAAACAGTGAAACAATTGGGATTGCTTCCCGCAGAGCTTGTTTTAAGGTGGTCAGACTCGTGGCGCTTCATAATTCGTGATGATGAAAAAAATCCAAACTCAAAGCTTGCAGAATGTGCGGACATTTCTGCTCCTGGGAAGTGGGTGTTCGCACGCGCTGCCCTAGTAATCGGGGCGCATGTCCGGAACCGCCTTGGGCAGCAAATTCGATTCGATCTGCAAAATCACAACCCTTCACTACAGTCCTACTCAACTGCTGAGTCTGCAGCCGAACGCTCGTACTCGGGAGTGCCAAACCACAAGTTGTATCTGGCCGTCACAAGCGGAAGCTTTGACGGCGTACTACTGTGAACAAGGACAACTTCCGCAGACAACTGTGCGAGGACACTTGTTGCAGTCCACGGACGACACCCCGGACACCTCCTGATAGCAACACGGCAGAAGCGTATTGTCCGTCATGAGTTCCGTCATGTAGTCTTTACTGCAACACGTGCAAGGTCCTTCTCCCATATGGAGAGCTGCTCGAAAAATCCAAGATTCGGAGTCACCTGCAGCTCCCGCTGCGCTTGGTTCATGTGCTGAGCTAGGTTATTGTTAAGAGAAGTCAAACGAACTCGAAAGCAGGTTAACTGGTGACAAACAGCCAGCCGAGCCCGAGCTTGTCTCACTTCGTATCAAGCGCTGCAAACGAGCATGATTTTCGCAGCTCACTACCTCTCATCCCACAAGTAAAATCGTTGTCCTAGCTGTGTCGACTACACAGCCCAAAAAAAGATCCCTCCTTCTGAGTCAAGCTGCAATGCATCTCCTTGAACGGAGTAGCACAAAAGCATCGGCCAACGTCATTCGTTGGCAGGCCACGAGATAGGCCTCGGACTTGAGCTCTCGACTATGCTTAGCTGCTTGACTGACTCTCTTTTGTGCAAAAGTCCTACAAGGCTCCCAATGCAACGCGGCTCAACGCTGCAACGCTCTCTGAGGCCAATTTCCCTAGCACACGTCCCGCATTCTGCAGCTCGGCCCCGCTCCAAGACCACGGATGCAGAGCGGGACACCCCCGCCCGGCAATGCACGAGCACCGGCCTTGGTGGTCATTGGCATGGCGGAGGGGCCCCAACACATCGGATTTCGAGGACACCACTGCTCTCGCACGATGTAAGAATGAATAAAATCAGTGGCCTCATTTTGGCAGACATGAGCTGGTCCTTCCGGATAGCCATACTGCCCGGCCTCCTTCAAGAAGTAGTCCAGAGGCTCCCTCGACATGTCTTCAACATCCACTCCTGGACGCAAAGACTATGCTTGCCGAACTTGCGCATCAACCTTTGAGGTGGTTGGGGCAGCTAGGGACAGTGCTGTAGTAAGTAACGCCAGGAATGAACTGCGCATCCGGGAATTCTAGCCTTAGTGCGACACGCATCCCAGTTTCTGATTTGCGACAGCACAGGTGCAAGCTGCCCGCGTTCTGCAACAGCAGCAGATTGCGCCCAATCCCTGTCTCTGGATGCCTCGCTGCAACATAAACTCACAAGCCACGGAAGCTGTGCCTCGAAAGAGCTGGCATTTAGACTCCGGGTGTCGAACCCTCCACATCGGTTGCCGCTGCCATGCCACCCAGGTACAGGTATGGCAAAATCTGATCCTGCGAGAAGACTGCTGAAGTTGCTACTCCAACAACCTTGCAGCACATAAGCTTCGCACGCAATTGGGTAATGTGATTACTTTTTCTCCCTTCTTCTTCTTTTTCTTCTTGGGCTTCACCTGGAATTGGTGTACACAACTTTGAACCGGCTTGCACACGACAAGTGGAAACCCCAATGGCCTCCTTCTCGCCTTGCTCTTGAGCAGCATCCTTGCCCTCCTGAGCATCCGCCGCAACCACCGCATCCGCAACCGGAACTGCAGCATCCGCTCCATCTGCATCTTCCTCTTCCTCCTCGTCGTCCTCCTCGTCCTCCTCCTCCTCCTCCGCCTCATCCTTCTTCTCCTCCACACCTTCCTCCTTGTCTGCCGTCACTTCAGCCATCGCCTCCTCGGCTGCAGTGGCTGCTAGCGCGGCTGCAGTGGCTGCTCTCCGAGAAGGAGAAGTCTGGCTGTGCAGGCTAATTTGCCGCACTAGGCCAGTATCCTGTCAGCAACCGCAAGAAGCCACAAGAATCAAACAGTATCAAACATGCAAAACGGCGGCACCGACATTGCTCCTGCTATGCATGCAAGGCAGAAGCACGCCAATACATTGCCTGCCTCATCCAAAGGAAAATCGTCGTCTTCGGGCAGAACAATGACGATTTCTGCCTGACAAGATGTGGAAGGATAATGTGCTGCGACTTGCCGGCGCCGTGAGTACGAGTTGCCTTCTCAGCAATGGATGACAGGCTGTCAGAGCCGCTGCTTGGAACGCGCTCGACCTGCCAGCACAAGTACATCCTGACCGGGACAGCTAGGAGCTAGGCTTGAGCTGCTCGTCACTCAGGGTGTGATGTTTGATTCTCATGTTTGGCTTGGGGCTCACAACCTTCTGGATGCTTTCTTCGGAGATTGCCCAGGCATCTTGGTCACCATCTGCTTGCCCTTCCGGCAATACTTCCTTTCAGGGCCACGCGACTGCCATGAGCATGGAAGAAGCCTGCTCATACTTGCCTCATCGACCGCCTCGGTGGTAGCGGCGGTTTGGACATCTTTGGCTTGGTCCGCCTGCGGTCAGGCTGAGAGTGTCCGTGTCTGCAGTTTACAGAGGACTATGTTTCACACGTTCATGCAATCGCAAAAACCTCGGCCTCTTCTGCAAGGTCAGCTGTGTCTGTCGCCGCCGTGGCTTCTGTCTCGACCTCCTGCTCCTCTGAGTGAAATGCGATATCCCAGTCTCAGCCCGACAACTGCCTACACGACTGAAATTCCTGTTGTCGATCGAGACATCGGGCCGGCAAGCTGCATTCCTGACAAGGATTTGCTCGTTTTGTTTTGCTGAACCTTCGCAGAACTTCCATCCATCAACAGAAGGCAGTGTCTCGACTGCAGAATATGTATGACGCTACTCAGCAGGCAATAGCTTATGATTCGAAAGGCTCAAAAACTCAATGCCGTAGAAGCCGACTGGGCTTTGTGCACACTCATTTGAGCACATCTCAATCTGCTGTCTGCGTCCCGGTCCTCCTCTAGCACATTATTGATTGCTAAATGCTTTGGCCTTCTTCGAAAACGCTACGCTTGCGAGCTTGGCTCACTCCAGGTGCAAACTAACACCGGCCGTGGCAGCGAGGAGACGCCTCCGACCTCTGACCTACGAAGAGAAGCACTGCGAGCGTCTTGCTCTGCCTTGAGCTCTTCGCTCTTGGAATCTTCGCGGACGAAATCCTGGCGCAAAAACTCGCTTGGCAAAAATAACGCTCTTCCGTACGACTCACCGATCTTGGTATAAGATTTCGTTGCAGCGACTTCCTTTGCGCCACCCTTGGCTGCTTGGTCAATTCCATGCCTGTCTACATGCCTTCCGACTATGTACAGTTGGTGCCAAAGCGAACATCAGAAGAACATCGGGTGTCTTCCATATTGACTCGATATGTTTTGTTTTGACATTTCCCAGCAACTGCCGACTTCTCCGGGTTGCACAATATTGCACATCAGATGCAAGTTTAATATAAGTTTAATGCGCCCACCGGCCCTCTCGTTTAACACTGCTTTCAGCAGATCTGTGATCTAGGCATTGACTACAATTCTTGCCCTGCAGACTGGCAGACCTTTCTTCCCGAAGAAACGGGAGCTGAAGGGCTGAGACTAAGCGCAAGCCTTCGGCCAGTTCTGAGCGCGTAAAACAGGAGAAACGCAGGCCCGACCCTATGTGTTTCATCCTCACACCATACACGAAGCTTCATGAACCCACGAAACCCGACACAACTCGAGCGAGGGCCCCAGAATGCCTCGGAGGTGGCCGTGGCCGTGAGCTCCGCTTTCACCGGTGGAAGCTCCGCTTCCACCGGTGGAAGCTCCACCTTCACCGGTGGAAACGCCTGGGCTGGCCGAGGCTTCGGGGCTTCGCTTCCATCCTGGGACTCTCCCCCAGAGTCCTCCCGAAGACAAGCTGAGTTGGTTTGCCTACTGATCGGAAGTTGGCAGCTCACCCATGGGCTGTCTGGTCTCTGGAAATAACCGAAGAGCACGATGCAAAGCCAAGACCGATGCTGGAGGCTCGGGAAGATCAGCAGCGCGACTTGACTCACCGCCATATGCCTGGGACAGGAATTGGCTGGACGCGACACCGTCGGGATACGAACGGATTTAGCATTCTGTGTGATGGAAGTTAAGTCGGCTCTGTTCTCACAAGATGATGGGGTTTGCGTTCACCGGTGCCCCAGGGTCTTGATGGTCCTTAATTTTAAATCATCCAGAATAGCTGCAGGAGTTTGACGGAGCTGGTTCCACGATGTTGTGCGGCTTGGCTTCCCTGACAACGGTGACTCGGATCAGGGTTTCAAACTCTGTACTTTTCGGATTGCGGGCCTCTTGTGGGAAATAGGTCTTGGAATGGCATCCACAAATCGTCTTAGGCTTGGCGAGCTTTGGTGCTTTCAGCATTTCTGCTTCGGAAGCCCTAGCTAGGCCAGGCAGGCGTTGGACCTTAGACCGTGTCGAGACTCAAGGCCTATCGGAATGACTTGTGGTGAATGGGTCGTTTCGGATTGTCTCGGGATGCTCGGCTTTTCGTATTTGTTGATCGTCATGGTGCCTGACGAGTTGTCGGCGGAATTTTCCGCATCGTCCAGCAGAACTGCATGTGTGTTGCAGTGACGATTCGTGTCTCGAATTGGCAACCCTCTCGGTATTGCCCACGTGTCTGTGTCCTCCGGCAAGCACGATCCATTGTAAATACCGATTGGTTCCTGGAGGCGGTGGGTCCTGGCGCTGTGGGTGTGGTTCCGTGCTGATTTTGGCATCGAAAACTTTCAGTACGTTGGGGGGAGCATGTTCGTCCTCTCGCCAGTATGGGGAGAAGCATGTTGGCCGTGCTCCTGAATCCCACCAATACTTGGGGGACGCATGTTGATCGTGTCTGTGAACTCCGTCGCTAAAGCATGTTGGTCGAGTGTTTGTATGCTGGCGGGCTTAAAGAACGGTGTATGAGGGGGGCTTATAGAATGGTCTACGAAAGGGTTGCAATGTAGAAACAGAAAGGCTTTGCAGAATGGTCTCTAGTAGAGATTCTTGAAGGGCATACAGACGGGCTTATAATGGATGGATGGCTGGCTGGCTGAGTGGATGGATGGATAGATGAATGCATAAATGGGCGATTTAGGGTTGATGGATGGATGTACCGATGGATGAATGCAAGGATGGATGTGATGATGTTCGATGCTACTTCGCTGCTCTAACACTCTCGAGGCACTCGTTCTCTGGTTGTTCTTGCCCTCCTATCTTCCTTGCCTTAAACATTTGCCTTATTAATCCCTAAGTTAGGCCTGAGTTGGCCTGACTTGTTGGAGGAAGGCAAAAACACGCAGACTCACCATCTCTTTCTCAATCTATTTCTCACCACCGCTCTCTGCGAGCACATAACTCAGGCACTGGCAGCGGTGGGTGTGACAGGCGGCGCCAGGAATGGATAGTCGTCCTCACAGCAGTGGAAGATGATAAAAGCTTGCGCTCATCGGGAGTGTCCTCTCTTGCTCGCAGGCCGCAGCATTGCTGCCCCATGGTGGCTCACCAGACACTGCTCAGTGCTTGAAAGTATGCAGACCATGCTGATGCTGCTGTTGCGGGCTGTGACCTGCGTATATTTGTAGCATGTCGACAGCTGCACACGGCTTCCGTGCGTCAGCTGTAGAGCCGAAACAGAGAATAATTACCAGTCAGAACTCAAACCAAAACTGATTCGACTCCGCCAGCGTGCATGCAGACAGCTCTCTCCGCTTAGTGTTTTAGTCGCGGTTCCTGCGACGGTACAGAAAAGGTTTGACCCTCGGTATGGCCGGTGGTGATCAGTTGTGGCACCCGGAAACACCCCCTGATCCAAGGCTGAAGCCATAGACCCTTCTGCGCACCACTGGAGCCCCGAGAAGTGCGGCATGTGCCATCAGGCACCTGCAGTGTCTGTGCAGAGATGCCGGCTCAATGTCGGCTGGGCATTTACGCTGCTCAGCAGCAGCTGTGTCATCCGTGGAGCAGCTACTCAATGTGCCATTGGCTGCTCTGCAGCCTTTTTGCAGTGCTGCCTCCCCGGAAAAATCTCTAACAAATTGCACCGTCTCACGTTTTTGGGACACATGCCCCGATACGGCCACGCATCGGCTAAAACAGCTGTTGCTAACACAATCATGAAGAGACGTATGCAAAGCACTCTACACGAGGCGAGGTGAAGAACGGCTAAACGATGCGGCGTCTCTTTGCCTGGCAACAGCAATTGGTGTGATCCTCGAACTTGAAATCTTGAGACAGGCAGGGAGGTGCCTCAGCCCACGGTTCCCTCCAGCTTCAAAGACAGCAGCTTCTGCGCCTGCAGCCGTAGCTTTGCAACTACCACTTATGACTACACTCTCGCCACTGCGAGTCCTCGGATGCGAATTCCATCGGCAGCTGGTCGAAAACGTCCTAAACGACGTGGATTTCTCTGGCGGCGCTGCAAGAGCATGCAAGAACTCTCTCAGAGGACTCCCTTGCTGTGCCGCTGTGACATCTCTTACTTGGATCATTCAAGTGACTGTCGGACGGACAAAGTCAGGAATCAAGAGAACTCTCACACGGCCCTGATGCAGCATCATCCATGCGTTCTTCAAGAAAGCAGACCAGAGAGACAAAAGCAAGACTCCTGGCAGAAGCCGTTGATGACGAGCGAAACGGCCTCCTCGGGCGCAAGGCCGCGGCTCGTCAAGTACAAAAGCCTCAGAGACCAGGGAGCTCATGCGACAGACGACTACTGCTGGGCGGAACCTTGTCCGACTCAACCTAATTACGACAAGTCCGTTCATCCGAGATTCTGCTCCTCAGAGACTCGTGAAGTCGTGGCCTGGAGCTTGAGCAGGAGCTGCGGGGCGTCCGTGGGGGCTCAGCTTCGCTCGGCATGTTTCGGAAATTCGCACACTGTGAGCGACAGATACAGTAAAGGAAGAGCAGGCTGCACACGACAAGTGTGCAACCGCCACAAGCGACTATTCAAGCCATCAGCACACACACACACACCCACCCACCAGTGCCTCATGCTCGACCTGATTATTTCCATCGGCAGCCTCAATGTACGGAAAAGTGGAGGCCTGCCGACAGACTCCACGTAGCGCCAGGAGCACACTCCGCCATGCCATGAGGCCTCGCCCTTGTTTCCAATTAGCAAAGAGTCGCACTGAGAGAAGTTCCTGCGAGGCTTACATGAACTTGCGAGGTTTGCGGCAGCTGCCGACGTCCTCCCAGCACTGGCGTTCCCGCGGAAGGCCACAAGGCCACGGTACCTGCGTGAGGTCTGTGACATCCATGGCATCAATATCCCAGGCTGAGAACAACATCAGGAAGAGAATCAACGAACTGGACCCTGCACAACAAGGTATATACACCCGGTCACGCGTTTTTGGAGTGTCCTGCGGAAATTCCCTTCGAGATGATCTTCGACCTAGCAGCCACACATCAACACATAAGAACTCACGTACTTCTCCACAGCAGCCTTGTGTTCTTTCCGAGGTGGACCATCTTGGTGCCGGTGTCAGCCTGCGAAAGGATTGATTAGACTGCCATGCTGTCTGCAAAGTGCCTCAACACCCAGTGACAACTGTCTGCCTGTTTTCAACAGCTGGTATGGCTCAACGGGTGAAACAAAAGGCCATGAAGGCATCTTGCAGTGCTTCGAAAGTCTTGGTAGATGTTACTACAGATGTGTGCATTGGCCTGCCTGCGTGCTTGCAGAGTATTGAAAGAAGTCGAGGGACTGCGCAGCCCATGAGCCTCTGCATGCAGAAATGCCTTGAATTGCTGGGCACCTTAGGAGCCCTATCGAGAAAAAGCTTGTTCTTGCACCACTCTGGGCGGCTTGTGCTCCGAGGCCTACCTAACACTTCCCTTATGACAATTCCTTCCGCAGGAAAATATTGATCTACATTAATACAAGGTTCTTCACTTCCAGCCCCACTTCCCCGTTCAGAGACGGCGAGAAGCTCACTACAAATCCAGCTCGAGTCCCACTGTGTCGGCGGCCCAGGTGTCCTGCTCGCAGTGTTGTTCAATTGGACTCCATGCTTTCGACGTGCAATAGAACCACGTGCACCTCAGGAACTGCTTCTGCAGGAGTTGCATCTTCTTTCATCTGTGATGCGTCGTCCTTCAGAGCATTTAAGTGATGTGGAACATCTGCACAGATCTGATAAAAACACTGGCAAGACAACCCTTTTAACGGACATGGTTCAAGAGTTTAAACCGTAGAGCCTCAGAGACCACATACCACATACGGCAGTCGTAACCATGATGGGTCAACTCCCCAGATCGTGATGGCCAAAACCCAATACCAACCGATTGACGGCCCCAATTGGGACGCTTGCTCCTTGGTATGGCTCTGGCTGAACAACACCTCTAGCCCTCTACATGTGCCTTCGTTTGGAGGGTTTCTTAAGTTCTCGTACTCGGGTTTCCCAATTTATGGTTACCCACCCCACAGCTTATTGAAACGAGGCCCCTAAAACACAAAGACTTCCCACACCCACGTTGTAACAAAGACTCACCCACATCCCCATGTGCGTTGTGATTTGTCTTCAGAATCGCAGGGACTTCTCCGCAGTTGCTCCGGCTGTTTCCCGAAGGTGCTTTCCTGAATCCCGGCGTTGCTTTCGGAACAACGCTACTCTATGTTTAATGTGCATCTACAGTAAGAGTACCTGCAGCAAGTGGATTGGCGTGTGACGTGCCGGTCCTCCTGCTCAACGCGTTCTGTGGGCACGGGCGGCACGGGTGTTGCCATTTCGGTTCCTCCTCCGCCTTTGTGTGCAAATGCCGTCATGATATTAATGATATCTTCTCAGGCATACCAGCACGATACTGCTGGCTGCTAGGGCTTGCCTGCTTCAGCCGCACTGTCTGCCGGAAGTGGCCTGATTTTTCACATAGCCCCGTCGGCGACAGCGATACACGAAGCACATATATAAAGATTCTTGCGGTGATGCCTCCTGCACTCAGCAAGGAGGGCATCACACTCCGCGGCCAATATCGACCAGTCTTTGCCGCGAATGCTGATCTCCTAGCCGAGCTCGGCATGGATGGCCCATCACTGCTGAAAAAGATGCTACAAACAACAGAGCGCGATCCTCACGCGCAGGCAACTCGGATTGGTTCAGCTCGACCTCTGGAGAAGTTGACAAGCACATGGCAAGAGAAGCGGATGTCACCCGAGCAAAGCTTCCCTGCAGCTGATGCACACTCGCTTCCTCGGTCTCTTCTGGAGGCACTTCTTCCTAGCCAGCATATGTCAGAAGCCCCATATAGAGCCCAACAAGGCGGTCCCATTCACAGAACTGTGCCTCAGCATGCTCTGATGCCTCCTCGCCAGGCTCCGGCGTGTTCTCCGTCTCGGGCTCCGGCTGCTCCGGGGGCGCATCCTCACTTCGAAATACTTCTGCCTTCACTGTAGAGGCTTGCGGCTCACTCCAAAGGCACCTCGGTCGCTCCGATCTGCCCCAGGAACTCTTCCTGCCGGCGGTCGCCGCTGAACACGCAGTGGCCTTCTGGCAGGAAACGCAGTTCAAGCAGCATCGTGTGAGATGCATCGCTGCCTTGTTTGGAAGGCAGGCCGTAATGGCTTGTATGAAGCTGGGATTCCAATGAGGACCGCCTGGAGTTGGATGCAACGCTGCCCAAATTTGCCATAAGCACCTCGGGACTTGTGTCAATCCGACTTCCTGCGCGGCAACTTGCAGATAGTTGGATCCGTGCATCGGTTGTGTCCCTGCAGAGGGTGGCATAAGGCGCAGCCGCTTCCTGGCGACACCGAAGCGACGGCAAAGCAAAACAGAGCCAGGCAGCCAGACTGTGCTCGCGCCTCCAGCTCCTGCATCCACGAGGCGGAGAAGCTGCCTCCAGCCAAGGGTAGGGCGCCTGTCATCAGATTGATTCCTAGGCTCAGCTTCGGATCGCAAGGATAGGTCTAGTCTACAAGGATGATGTCGAAAGCTGCGCTCTGATTTTGCCCTTGCCTTGCTTCTGGCTGGAGACGGCCTGCTGCAGTCGCTTTGTCTTTGTTGTGTCAGGAGCCTACTGATCCCCAGTCCGTACCCGACTCGAGCCTGTTCCAGTAGCGATGCTTGAGCCTCACCTGACGCGGAAGACACGGCTCTATGTCTCAAGTCTCAATGTCGCCGTGGCCTCTGAAAAAGCTAGCGTTGGCCGTCTCCTGCTTTGGGGATGCCGCGTCCTCCACGAGAGCCAGAACTTCAAGAGCCAGAGGTAAAAACAAGAAAGCAAGAACATGGGATTCGGCATTCACAGTGACAGTGCCCTGGACTCTGGAAGGAGCTGCTTCCTTCAAGGCCCGACTTTGCGTCTCGACAGCAGCAGATTGCTTCGGGGACAAAGACATTTTGTAACAAAAATCACTAACCCAGGAATGGAATCTCCCCTCTCCCCACCAGATTGTGCTTCATGAGATGATGCAGGCTCGGAGGCATGTCAACCTCGATATGCAATAAGGTCAATTTGGAAATCTGAGGGTGCAAAATGTCCAAGAGTGGACGCTTGTATCTAGCGACAAGTCTTCATAACATCTTGCAAATGTCTTTCTTGGCGACCTGTTCTTTGCACAGCAGGTGTTCTTCCCTTGTTTCCGCCTCTGAGTCACTGCAGTTCCGAAGCTGCTCCACCGCGTCGCCGTCACTGTGTGAGCCCACTTCCTGACAATCGAACACTGAACTTCCAGCCTCCCTAGCGTTTTTGCACAGCCCTTGTCCATCTCAATCTTGTATCACAGTTACATAGAGGTAGCAACCGTTTCACGACTGGTCTTACCACACCCGCGATCTGCCTCCGGCACGAGCACGTCATCGGAAGGCAGCTGGGCCTCGACACTCGGCTGGAGGCCCGGTAGGACGGAAGCCGCCTGGACAACTTTGGAAGCGACAGGGAGTGCCACGGTGCGATGCGTTTTCCACCTCCTCGTCCTCGTCCAAGGGGAGGGTGACTTGCACCGACACTTCGATCTCTCCCTCCAGCGGTCCCTGTCCAGTGGCGAATCGTGACTCTTGCAAAGACTGTCCAACACCCTTAGAATGGCTCCCCGGCGTCCTCGGCTGCTGGAACTCCCTCTGCTTCTGTCTCGGGAGCTCCTTCGGCTTCCAACCTTGGCTGCCACCGGGGCTCCATGCATGCGTTCTCTCCATTCTAGCTGCTGCCACGAGGCTTCTGCTCGGAGGCTTCTGTGGCCTCCTCCTCCTCCGGAACTTGTTGGGCTTCCAGCGCAGGATCTGCCAGCACCTCAGCCTCAGCATCCCGAGCAGCTCGACAGGAGCGGTGCGCAAAGCAAAAATGCAAAGACCCAGCCTCTTCCGAGGCCTCGGAGCTTTGCCCACGACTTCCCGGAAGCGAGGCTCGCGCTTCCTTCCCATCCGAAAGCCCGAAAGCCCCGAACGAGGCTTGTGCATGCTGCATCATGCTGCAACACATCCTCGTCCTCGGGCAAGACGGGCAGAGCCGACCTGATGGGATATGGATGCAAACATGTGCTGAGTTCGCCGTCCATGTACCACCTTTTCTTCCTGACGTGTGGGATGGGCTCTGCAGGGATTTGTTCGTGAATCTCATTCGCCAAAACATCCTCTGAAAGCGGCCCGATCCAATTCCAAGTTAATGGACTGGCCGACCATGCCCAGCAGGGCTGTTGCGTCGTCAACAAGAAACACAACAGTAACAAAGACTAACGATGCTGTCGACAATGAACCGTGGCTTACACTCCTCTCACGCATGCGGAAATTCCCCCAATGTCTTTGATCACAGGTCGCGTTCTGAGATCGACTGAGGCATTGGCCGGCGGATCGGACTCAGAGGCTTCCAAGAAGGTGCCTTCCTGTCAGATTTCCCTGCTAGCTGCAGAGGAGCACTAGTGATGAGAGACGTCTTGGGATCTGCCCCATGGGCTTGCCATACCCTAAGACTCTGACGCATGAGAACCGCCCGCCTGCCCACCTTTGGCGCCATCTCAACCATATAGCTATGCACGGCACCCTGCAAGAGAATTGTGTGACGAATGACGAGTTGTTGAACAAACATTATTAAACTAATGCAAATTTTCTTGCCCGAGTGCTGAGGTGGGCACGTCCACCCTCGCATCTCCCCCAACGTAGCTTCCCAAACGATTCAGCTGCTGCCTTGCCACCGTGGCGACCAGCGGCTTGCGGATGCTGCGCTGATCTCCTGCAGCCTTTCGGCAGTCCCAAGGCGCCGACAGGACTTCCAGCTGTTGCCTTAGGGCTTGATTGTAGTCTTGATTGTACTCTTGGTCAGGCAGGAGGCATTGGGAGATGAGAAACCGCTGAGAAGCTTCGGATTCTTGCCAGCAAGGCAGGCAGCCGCACATGATGTGAAATCTCCTTTGAGCTCGGAGCTGCATTTTCTTCATCTCCTGATGCTGCTTTGCCTGGAGTTGTGAGCAGAATATCTCAAGGTCGATAAATCAGGACCATGACAATGTCTGTGGCCGAGGTTGGCACCAGAACTCCAGCAAGCCTTGCAGAAGCCGGCCAGCTTTGGTAGGGGTAGTGGTCGTAGTGGTAGTGGCAGTGGTACTGGTAGTGGTAGTGGTAGTAGCGGCAGTGATACTGGTAGTGGTCATGATACTGGTAGTGGTACCTGATAGTGGTACCAGTAGCAGTAACAGTAGCAGTAGTGGCACCAGGAGCAGGCGCAGGAGGAATAGTAGTAGCATTGGCTGTGGTAGTAGTAGTAGTAGTAGTAGTAGTCGTCGTCGTAGTAGTAGTAGTAGTAGTAGCAGTAGCAGTAGCAGCAGCAGCAGCATCAGCAGCAGCGGCAGCATCAGTAGCAGCAGCAGCAGCAGCAGCAGCAGCAGCAGCAGGAGCAGCAGGAGCAGCAGCAGGAGAAGGAGCAGGAGCAGAGCAGGAGCAGCAGGAGCATGGCAGTAGTAGTAGTAGTAGTAGTAGTAGTAGTAGTAGCAGCAGTAGGAGTAGGAGCAGGAGCAGGAGCAGGAGCGGGAGTAGTAGTAGTAGTAGTAGTAGTAGTAGTAGTAGTAGTTGCTGCTGCTGCTGCTGCTGCTGCTGCTGTTGCTACTGAGATGCTGCTGCTTTGCGGTTGGTGCTGTTGCTGTTGTTGCTGCTGCTG